CCAAGAAATATATTTGCGGCTCTCCCTACTGCTGTGGATTGGACAGACGTGCCATTACAAACAATACGGCCTGATTGGCTAAGAATAATCCTGCTCAATTATAATCATGTGAACTCTCTGTCAAAGTGACAAAAACAGAACAATTCAAACATTTATGTGGACCATATTTATGTATTTTCTATCCATGTGTAGTTGTTAAAGCAGCTTTAAAGAAGCGCACGTCTTTGGCCATTCAGAGCTGTTCACGGACGACCGTCTGATGCATACAAACAAAACAAAACACAAATGGCTTATGTTCCTTTAATACAGATCACTTTGGATAAAAGCATCTGCTAAATGCATAAATGTAAATGTAAATGTGAACTGTTAATTAAAAGTACAGGAAATTAATAAAAGCGAGAGAGAGATAAACCTGTTGGAGATTGGGCTGGGCAATACTATCATATATATATATATATATATATATATATATATATATATATATATATATATATATGAAAATCATTCACATGAGAGAATAATTGGAAATGCTTAAATAAGAATCTCCTTTTTTTTTACTTTCATTCAAGTGTGTTTTTGGGTAAATACTTTCGATTTTAATACAATTTACACTCAATATCCATACTTTCACTGTACTTTTGAGTACTCTGTTTACATATATTCAATAAGAGTGTATGTATATTATAAAAATCATGTAATTGACACAAAATAACTAAATAAAAATAACTGATTTTACACAAATGAACCCGTTCAAGTTTACATAAGCTTGATTCTTAATACTGTGTTTATAAAACTGATATTTATGCAAATATGCCAAGAGGGTTAAGGCAGTAAAAATAATGGTGGCCACGCAAAATATTGACACTTTGGGCCCAATTTGGACATTTTCACTTAGGGGTGTACTCACTTTTGTGACCAGCGGTTTAGACATTAATGGCTGTGTGTTGAGTTATTTTGAGGGGACAGCACATTTACACTGTTACACAAGCTGTACACACACTACTTTACATTGTAGCAAAGTGTCATTTCTTCAGTGTTGTCACATGAAAAGATATAATAAAATATTTACAAAAATGTGAGGGGTGTACTCACTTCTGTGAGATACAGTGTATATATATATATCTCACTGGATTATCGCTCTTGTTTTGTTTTTATTCATTTAACTAATTATTAACATTTTGCAGATTCTAGCAGGTATCAAGGTATACAGATAGGATTTGTTCATAAACATGTACATCTCTGTCTATATGTGTGCAGTTTTGGGAGGAATAAAGATGACAAGGAGACCTTCATTGGTGTGTATCTGCCCACAGAGGCGACTGGGGCTCTTTCTCACTCTGCAGAAGGGCAAATGTCCCAGAATGCCTCTCAGCGAGACATGCTTGTCACTCGTGTTGACCTCCGACCCCGTGGAGCTCTTTCTGCTGACAGGATCCGACGCTTCAAACGCTGTCTGACGGGCCCCTGCGGAGGTCAGGAATACATCTCCTCTCAGAAAGTGCCCTATAAGCACTTGGAGAGCTATTATTATTATACTTTTTCCACCACAGGAGGAAATCTCACCATTTTTACTTAGTTTCTTGCACTTCTGAATTTATGTCTCACAATTCAGACTTTTTTCGCACAATTCTGAGTTATCATCTCACAATTTGGACTTCTCTTCTCAGAATTGCGAGATATAATTTATGTATAATTTACATACTGGTAAAAAAAAAATGTATATATATGAAAATCACATCTCAATTATTATAATCATTTTTTTAAAATATGTACTCATTTATTTAGTTATTTAATTGTTTATTTATTTTAACATATCCTGTTTTTGTGGTTCAAGCTGAGTTTCCTTTTTTTGTCATAGGTGTGATAGTATTTAGTCTGTACATATTGTATTTTCCAACCCCTTTACCATAACCCTGCCCCTCAGACAAAACGTCCTGCATTTACATTTTCAAAACCAAAAAAATGACCCCCTGGAATTCCCTACATTATGGGAACCAAATGTCCCCACAAGGTCCTAACCAGGTCCACACACACACCGAGACGTGCTACTGCCAATACATCCACAACATGCTGCTGTGAGCATGTAAGAAATATTGCTGCTGCAACTATAACATACATGAAATAACAGCATATAGCATACATGATCACCTCGTAGCAGATTTATACAGGTGGAGCTGGGGAAGGCGTAGGGTTTCTGAAGCAAGCTGCAACTGCTACGGCAAGCACTAGTCATATATTTGAATGTTGAGCAGCGAGCTCATTGGCTACCGATACAGGAGAGAACCAATCAGCTGCCATGTGATAATGATGTCATTACGTCAGATTGCGTTAGACCTATTGGATTGCGCCATCTAGAGTTTCATGCCAGAAACCTGTATATAATTTGCTATATATTGCTCAGCCCTTAACCCTAGCTTAAGGTGAACGGTGATCTGTGACAGATGTGCTCATCTCTCATGCTGAACATCACAGAGGTCCTTATAACGCACAAAAACAACAGTCATTCCTCAATACCTCTGCCATCAAAGACGAACACAAATACAAAAGCAGCTTATCTACATATTACCTCAGCAAAAGCACGTAAAACAGGCCAGGCCTGGCTGCCTCACTACATTCTCTGGACTTCTTCAGCAGCAAATCTATCAATAATTCTTCTAATCATCCAGTAAGCCATTAAACAGCATACACATCCAGCGGAAAATGTGATTGAGATGAGCTATCAAAGGCGGATCTGAGCGATGGCAGAGATGCCCGCTGCGGCTGCCAGCCGATGGCTTTTATCTTCCCTTCAGAAAAACGTCTGTGGCTCCGCAGGGCATCTCTCATCACGGATGTCATAACCTGTCCAGCGCGCGGCTGTCACATCAAAGTGCTTCTGTGCTGTTAAGATGCATTAACACTCGTGTAAACATGCAACCTAGTGGCCTTCAGAAAAATACATACAAAATATCAGCTTCTACAAAATATACATGGAGTTTATACAAAGTGTAAAAGACTAATAAAAGTTTACAATAACTAACTATCTAAATAAATAACAAATATAAATTTTGAATAATAATAATAATAATAAAAATAATAAATGGCTTCACTAAATTATGCGTTTATACAAAAAATAAAGTGTGCTTGACAAAAAAAATCCCAAATTATATCAAAATAAATATTTACACATTCAAATTAATAATAATAATAATGCTGATAATAATAATGCTGATGATATAATATAATATAATATATATAAAATAAATTACATGTTATTTACAAGTTTACATTCTTGTGTGACCAGAAAAAAAAATCCCAACATATATTAACATATTATAATATATATTACTATTACTATTATTAATAAAATTAATAATAATTATTATTATTAATGTATGTGCCAAGTGTAAGTATAAAATATACAGTTTGATAATAATAATAATAATAATAATAATACTAAATACATTAATATACATGTTTATGTAAAGTTTTACTTGACAAAAAATACATAAAAATACATGTTTATGTTTAAATATATATATAAAATGTAAAAAGCCCAAATATCAAAATTATTTACATGCTTACATGTTTGCGTGATCAAAAATAACACTATAATATATTATAAGCACTAAAGTTAACATATTATAATATATTATACTATTATTAGTATTATTAATATAATTTATACTCATAATAATAATAAGAATTATTATTGTATGTGTAAATTTGTATATCAAGAATATAGTTTGAAAATTATTAGATTCTAAATAAATCAAAAAATAAATATTGTTTTTTTTATTAATTTAATGGAATAATACTTTAATATAATACAATACATATTATACTTTAAATATTCTAATATAATACTGTTACGACCCTCCCTTTAGTTCTTAGGCGTCTAGGGACTAAGAAGGGGAACATTAGACCAGTTTTGACCAGTACCAGTTTAACACTCGGTGTGTGAAGGAAAATTACTGAAACTAGAGACTAAATCAAGTGAACTTACTTTATTACTAAAGACCGCGTCAGTTGTTTACACAAAACAAAAAGAGAATAAGTATGTATAAGAAAATAAAGAATTTATAAAAGAATTCTTAGACACACCGGCAGCTTTACAATATTGGAGAACTGGGGAGGTTAAAGGGAACCTGGATTGTGCCAAAAAGAAAAAAAAAGTAACAAAACCAAAAAGAATCTAACTAACCCTTTTTGGTCTAGTCCTGAACTAAAATAAAGAAAAATGTGAAAAGGAAAACGTCTTCAACGTCCGAGACGTCGTAACTCAACTTCACTAACTAACCAAACCAAAAAATACAGAAAATGGCACAAATCCCTAACCTAGTGTGTCTAACAACAAAATCAAACTACATGTGCACCATGTAAGTCACGTGACATAACTTACCTACCCCTTTACCTCCTTCCAGTTTTAACACATCTTTACAAGGCTCTCAAATGTCACAGATCAGGAGTTTCGGGTCAGCCAAGTAGGCAAGCTATTTTACATGGCAATCACAGCACATCACACTCTAAACCAAACACACAAAAAGAATATCACAACCCAAGTTCGCAAAGCCGGCTTTCGTGTACACTGGCATTTCCCTTATATAGCACAGGTGGATGTCAATCAGCGAGCGCGATGGAAGAACAACCCCCTCCCATCATCAGACCCAATCAGCTCATCCCGAATGATTAGCAAGTGAGCCGACCAATCCGCACGTCACCTGCAAAAGTGAAAGTAAAAGGGATAGACAGAACGCGACGGCGGGAAAAAAAACTCAAACAGAAGAACACAAAAACAAGAAAATACTCAAACGACAAGTCAGCATCACATAAGGACGTAATTGAACTAGAAAAAAAAACACAGGAAAGCATATCTCTCTGCTTCACTGATGTTTTCTCCAGATCTCTTGCGCAGTATGGGGTCTAGTTCATCGACAGACGCTGAAGGCCACTGACCTGTCTAGACGTCCAGTGAAAGCTGAGCACGAGCAGGAAGACTCGTGTAAAAATAGATGCCTTACCTTTGCCACTCTGTTGGCCACTTCCCGACCCACCATGAGTCCTTGAACGAACGAGCGAGCCGCGATGAAGGCCTTGGTGACCTGAGCCTTGAGCTTGCGCGGCACGTCTCCGAAGGGCTTTAACTGGTCGGTGTATTTGCTGATGCACTCCAGATAGTCGTCTGTGAAGGTGTACTGAGAGTTGAGCAGCTGGAACATGCGCTCCAGAAGTCTGGACCAGAAGTCGTTCAGCACTTCCTCCAGGTTGACGTTTCCGCCGGTGTAGTAACGCTTGAGCTCGGAGAACAGATCCTCGAACATCTCCGAGTTGTGCGTGTACAGTTTGCCGTATGTGCGCACAAACATGTCGTTCAGCGACTTTTCCGAGTTGTCCAGCAACTCCAGAAAGAATTCTGAAATAGAGAGAAACACAAATAAAATTCATTATAGATGCATATATAGGATATATTTATATGTGACCCTGGATCACAAAACCAGTCATGAGGGTCAAATAGAGATGTATACATCGTCCGAAAGTTGAATAAATAAGCTTTATATTGATGTATGGTTTGTTAGGATAGGACAATATTTTGGCCGAGATACAACTATCTGAAAATCTGGAATCTGAGGGAGCAAAAAAAAAAAATCTAAATATTGAGAAAATCACCTTTAAAGTTGTCCAAAAGAAGTTCTTAACAATGTGTATAACTAATCAAAAATTAAGTTTTGATATATTTATGGCAGGACATTTACTAAATATCTTCATGGAACATGATCTTTACTTAATATCCTAACGATTTTTGGCATAAAAGAAAAATTAATATTGTATTAATTAATATTGTATGGGTCAAAATTATTACTTTTTCTTATATATATATATATATATATATATGTATGTATACTGTATGTATATTGTTGTTGTTGTTACTGTTATTGTTGTTTAATAAATTATTTACCATATTTTAAGTGTACAAATAAATAAATATAAAGATTGCACAAACGAAACAGGGGGAAAAATTATTTATTATTATTAATAATATTTGTATTATTATTATTATTATTTAGTAACAATTTATTTTAATAATGAGTTTTTATTTATTTTATTTTATTTAGTTTTATTTTATTTTAGGATTTACCACATCTTAAGCATAAAAATTACAAAAATTTCTCAGTCCATGTATTAAATTACCAAACAAAAACGCAGCCTTCAGAAATGCTTGTTACGCCAGTGGGACTCTCCCAAGACCATTTTCTCACCTTGTTCTCAAATGGAGTGAATATCAAATTATGTGATGCAGACAGCAGCTTCTAAAATACTGCCAGTCGACCATATGGTACTCAAATTAACGTCTTGCTTTAACTTTATCAGCCTCAGGCGAAGATTTATGGAAGACACCACCGGCAGCGTCTGCTCAGACGGATACAGACCGGCTTGTCTTTCAAGACTACATACTGCAGTTCAAGTGTTCACGACCCGAGGTGCTGATTATTTTTAACATACTCTTGCTGATTGTTTGTCCTCAAACGAAGGACATTTGGATTCGGAGAATGATTTTAATGTGACTTGTCATCTTTCATTTTCCATGAAATGCTTCTCACAACATTAAAGGAATAGTTCAAAGAAAAATGAAAATTATGTCATTTACCAATCCTGTATGACTTATGACTTGCTTTCTTCTCTAAAATCATCAAAGTGACAAACAATATATATAAATAAATATATATATATATATATATACATATATACTGAAAAAATATATATTCACTTAAAACAACTAAATAAATGAATAAATACTGACAAAATATTACTTCACAAATAAGCTGAAATTACCAAATAGTGGTAGACAAACAAACAAACAAATGCATACATACATACTAAGAAAATACTTAGTTTTAATTGAAATTGAATCACAAATTAGTGACAGAATAAATCAATAAATACTCACAAAAAATATTGGCAAACTGTCTCTTTAAGTGAGAAATTTGAGCAATAGATTCAGGTACACCCGTACCTTAGGAAGCTCTCCAAGCCTTTAAAGCATTTCTTTTTACTTTCAAATTGAAAATTTTGCCATTTGCAAAGGCTAATTAATTGTATCCTTGGGTCATCTGGCTATATAATCCAACGTTTTATTAAAGTAGATTGATCTAGATGCTGCTTATATTGCCCCCTTTGAAAAACAGCCGACAAAATAATAGTAATTACTTTCTCATCACACTGATGGAGGCTGTTGATGATAAAACAACATATTCATTACTCAGCGCCGGAAAAGCCACTTTCCCCTTCAGATAATTACAATGGAGTAAATCATGCAAATACACATCTCACACAGCACTCCAACCTCAGCCCCACACAACCTGCTCCTTCACAAGCGCTCGAGACGGAGAAGACTGAGATGTTTGTCCTGAAAATGAGTCAACAGGTGTCACAGGAAGAGTACAGGGTTATAAAATGCATGCAGATGGAAGATCAGAATTTGACGAGATCTTATTGATCTTGTGTTTGATGGCAGACTTTGGGATCTGAGCCTAATCTGAGACATTAGTGAGATCTGCACCTTGGTCTTCTCTTCAGCCGCAGCAGGAGACTTTCTTCTTTATTTGGCAGATACTTTCTTTCAGGGTAAAAGTTTATTAATTGTGTTAAGTGGTATTTTTGGTCTAGGAATCAAACCCACACCCTTGGTGTTGCAAGTATAATCCTGCACAGTTGAGCTACATGAACTTTGATTTTATTTAATCTCATTATACCAGTTAGAAACAATCAAAAGGAAATATAAATTTTTCTATAATAATTAGCATTTATGATTTATATTCGGATTTACTTTAAGTTCATGGATGTAATATTCATATATATATATATATATATATATATGTGTGTGTGTGTGTGTGTGTGTGTGTATGAAGAGTTAATTTGCAAAAACAGATCAAAAATGATTGATGAATTTAATAATTGATGAATCAAACTGCAGTTGAGTTATTTAGATTGGGTTAAAAATAACTAAAAATTGCAGCTAACTAACACACTAAAACACAATAAAAACATGATTACATAATAAAAAACATGATTTTTGAAAATGTAACAAAACAGAGTTATCTGCCTTTGCAAATACACACTTCATATATATATATATATATATATATATATATATATATATATATGGATATTACATATGAATGTATAATGCTCAAAAAGGTACAAACTTTTGCTTACTAAATATTGCCGTTTAAAAGAGCTGACTTTATCAGTTTTATTTATCTCATTATTTGTTTTATTTTTTTTTTTTTTTTTTCAAATTTTTTTTTTTTCCCCAACACGGCTGCCTTTTTTTTTTTTTTTTTCAAATATTTCTATTATGCCCAACACGGCTGCATTTATTTGATTAAAAATACTGCAAAAGCAGTACATTTGTGTAATTTTATTACAATTTAAAATAGCTGTTCTCCATGAGAATGTATGTTAAAATGCATTTATTTCTGTGATCAAAGCTGAATTTTCAGCATCATTACTCCAGTCTTCAGTGTCACATGATCTTCAGAAATCATTCTAATATGCTGATTTGCTGCTCAAGAAACATTTCTGATTATTATCAATGTTGAAAACAGTTTTGCTGACAAAAAGTTTTGTGGAAACTGTGATACAGTTTATTTTTCAGGATTCTTTGATGAATAAAAAGTTCAAAAGAACAGCATTTACTTGAAACAGATCTTTTCATCTTAATCATCCAGCAGGTGACAACTGCACGTCTGATCACTTAAAGCAGCAGCTCTCCTCAACAAGATGCATGATTTGCACAATCATTCATGTCTGCAACACAAACGCAAGCACTAATTGCACTGTTCCATTATTGTGGACGTCCTCGAGTGCATCCAAACACTTGTTTAATCAGTGCTGTTAAATCGTAATGAACACGGTGACACGAGAGGTTTGGACAGATGGCTTTCTCGCAGATAAAGACAGAAGCTACTGACTGTTTGTATTTTACGAATGTGAAGAAAAGAGGGCATCTGAGGACCGGCTCGTATCAGCCCGCATCTGCTGCTTTCTAAAAACTTTCCATTTGGACTAATTGCTCAGCCTCTGCTGTCGTGTCTTTATGAAAGCTTATCTCTTGTATCTTATCAGAGTCACATTAGAGCGGACGTATTCATCTTCAAATGGCTTTTTAAGAGCTCATTAGAGATAAGCAATGAGAGAGATATTAAACAGACGTGAAGGGCACACACACACACACCCGACAGATGCACACACAACACCATGTACTGTCTTCCTTGTATTTCTCTCTCTAAAAACACAGATTTGAATCCAGTGAAATACTGGGAATGGAAAATGTGTGTATTGACTATATAAACAGTCAAACAACAAACCACTCAATATTTAGTTAAACTATAGTAAAGCTACTCTTTTAAGTTACTAACCAAAAGTTGCTAACTACACTGAAGCAGTTTAAAGAAGCAATGCATAATTTAGAAATATATAATATTTAATATATTTTGAAAGAAGTCTCTTCAGCTGTAAAGTCAACAGTAAAATTGTGAAATATTATTACAATTTTAAATTCATATGAATATACTGTAAAATGTAAAACAAGAACAAATAGAAAAAAAGAAGCATATAGACCAGAAGAATCAAAAGAAACCAGACCATAAGAATCAAAATGTGAATAGTTATTTTGATTCTGTTCATTTAAATGATCTATTTGCATGAACTGATTCACTAGAATAAATGGGACTTTCCAGGCAAAAGACCTACAAGAAGAACAAATACATGTAAATAAAGTCAAATATAAGCTGAATCAAAAATGCAATACATCTGAAATGTTGCGATTCTTGCTTTTGACAGTTTCAGATTTAATAAACCACACAGCTATCATCTCATAAATAAAAGGTGGAACATTTGCATTTTTAATCCATTCATGCGCAAAACTGTCCAATCAAATAATGAGTAAAGAACAAAACAATAGAAAGTGTGATTTAGAGTATGTGTGATACAGTCATTAATGTAATTAATGCATACATCAAATCCGCACACTGTGCACAGCCTGCATAAACAGCAAGAGTAGCATGTATGCTGCTGAAAACACAGACAAACTCTACGCATACAACACCAAAGAAATCACGTATTGTAAGCATACGTCCTGCTGTCATTACAACCGCGAGTCCCCAGTTTCTCAGTCTAGTTTCACTGCAGTCGACTGACCCATGATTACCCCTTCATTTATTTAAGTAATAATAGGCCCCGAGCGCTGCTGTGTGCCACAGACGCACTTTTATTCTTATAAAAGAAGTCAAGGACGAGTCCAGATCGAGATGAAGTCACAGTTAAAAGTAATTGTTCTAAGAGACACTCGGTCACCATGTTCGTAATGTACTGGGCCAGAATGACTGCGGCAGACATGTATGCTGTATAACACATACATTTTTGCAAATTTAGTAGATTTTGACAACAATTTAATTGCAAAAGTTTGTCTTCCTCAGTCAAGTTCACTGTTATTTTAGTATCATTGAGATACTATTATAGGTTTTATTAATATTTTCAATCATTTTTTTCTGATTTTCATTTAATTTGCAGTTACATAGAGTTTATGTGTATATATATATATATATATATATATATGAGCTTCGATGATCCAGTTCAACTGTACTAATAAGCACAAATTACTCTAGACGAACATTTGTGTCTTTTTTTGTTGCTGAAGTGTGTTGAAATGTCTTCTTCTGCATTCTACTGTACTTTCCCTTCAGCCTGAGGCGCATTCATTTCACTTTTGGTGTGAAAAGGCTTTTATGTTTGCCAAAAATATAACTTTTTTATTATAAAAACAAACAAGCAAGCCCTGTCCAGATAACGCAAATATAACAAAAGTCACTTCTTTCTTTAAAATGTAAAGTAATTAGTTCTTCTGCATTCTACTGTACTTTCCCTTCAGCCTGAGGCGCATTCATTTCACTTTTGGTGTGAAAAGGCTTTTATGTTTGCCAAAAATATAACTTTTTTATTATAAAAACAAACAAGCAAGCCCTGTCCAGATAACGCAAAAGTAACGTAACGCATTACTTTCTATAAAAAGTAACGTAATTAGTTACTATTTTATGGAGTAAAGAAATATTGTAATGCATTTCTTTTAAAAGTACCTTTCCCCAACACTGTATATATATATATATATATATATATATATATATATGCACAAATTAACTGAACTGAAAACATCATTGTATATTTAAACTCATTGTATATTTTTATATTATACATATTGGAATTTTTATAGTAGAGTTTTTCATTTCTTCTTCAGTTTTAGTTTTAATTATTTTATTACATCAAGGGAAACATTTCAGTCGAAATACGATTTTATTTCAGTTAATGTTTATTTTATTTTAAGTAGCATTTTTCTAAATGTTATTTTTAGTGAAAATTTTAGCAGTTTTGTTAGGTGTTTTTGGACATAAATTTGATTAAAATATATATATATATATACTGTATATACACACACACGCACAAGTGTTTTAATATTTTATTTTACTTCAGTTAACATTTAATTTATTTGAATAACTTTTTTTCAAATTGTTATTTTTAGTGAACATTTTATAAAAAAATTAAATATAATTTAAATTTTATAAAAAAATATATATATTAATATATAAAATATAAATGTACAAATATAAAAACCGCAATTATATATAGATATATACACATGCAATGTTTTTTTTTAAATATATTTTATTTGACTTCAGTTAAGGTTTATTTTATTTGTTTATTTTTTATGGTTTTAATTAATTAACTAAGTTTTAGTTTTAGTTTTAGTTAACCATAGTAACCCTGGTCTAGCTCCAAGAGTTGTGCTGAAAAATGATGCACAGTAAAATATTCCATTATAATTAATATATGTCCCATCATTCAGCAGGTTTTTATTTATTCAGCCACTCCCTGTACAGGAATGAAAAGCAGTTAATATTTTAATGCATTGTACTCAAATGACCTACATCTTTGAGGGGAAAATAATGAATGATGGTAGCAAGCTGAATTATGCATCAGCTGCTACATATTCAGATTTACTTTATGTTGTGTATATTATAATCATTCCTGGTCTCTTTCCTCTTGGCCATGAACAATTCCCATGCATGAAAAATGCAGACGAAACGAATGACTGAATTATGAAAATGCTCTCAGCTGAAACAAAAACTCACAGGCACCAAGTCAAAGCACACAACGGCCATGCTGAAACTTTCATGAGGCCTCTTCAGAGCCTCGATGATCTGATCCACTCAACGACGTGTTGGCTGCAACATTAGCAGCCCTAAGGCCACCGCAAACATCTCCAGATGATAAAGGCAGAGGTACCAAGACGTGCCACGGCTTTATTACAGAGAGAAGCATTCAAAGACACATGTAGGACATTCCTACTGGATCTCTCTGACTTCTGACCATAAAAGCATTAACTGATGCTCAAAAGATGATGTTAAACGTATTGTTTTCCTAGCAGATATAACAAAGATTTCTCCTAGCTGCTAAACTGCAGAGCAATGTCATGCCAGCATTTGTTTAGCAGGTGAACGATTATCAACAGAGAAGATCATTTACTGTGTTTTACACACCTGTCTCATAATCTCCCCCTCTAACAATCAGACAGAAATGACTTAAAGAGCTATCCAGTGTCTCTGTTGTTTCTGCCGCCTCGTGCCTATGGCTCAATCACAGTCATGCTGATATAGAGTGACATCACATAATATTTATACAATTATAGGTAATTGTATACAAAATAAATAGATAACAACAACGACAATAATAATGCTGTCAAATCTATTAATTGTGATTAATCACATCCAAAACAAAATATTTGTGTTTACATAATACAGCATATGTGTGTGTGCGTTTATTTATGATTTATATTATTCATAAATATAAATATGTATTACATATAATAATAATAATAATAATAATAATAATAATAATAATAATAATAATAATAATAATAATAATATAACTTTTTATTTTTAATCATCATTTTTAATTGTATTTATTTATTTATTTGTATTTTCTTTCTTTCTTTCTTTCTGATAATACCATAGCACTTTTCTTTATTAAAAGTCTTCACTTTAATCTCATTACTGTCTAGAAGAAACAAAAGAGACATGGAAGAGATCCCACTTGTGATTTTCTTTTTCTTATGGGTTGTATATTAATGGGACAATAAATGGGTGTCATAGTATATATCAAAATACCTTGAAATTACCATCAGATACCCTCATTGAGCCATGGTACTGTGATTTTACTCTGTTTGCAAGATTTTATAGGCCAGAAAGCATTGTCAATGTTGCTACAGGCTCTTCTATACGGGTAAGTACTAGTTTTTGTTGGCATAACCAGCTAAACTTGCCTGGTGAAGGTGACTGAGCCAGGAATCTAACTAGTTAAGCAGACCAAGGTTTTCTGATGTCTAACCATTCAGCAGGGGTAAAGTAAGCATTATTCTTCTCTCATTACTTCCAGTCAGAATATTGTATGCTAATAGTTGCTCCTGATATACGTTTCACCATATTTTAGTTATCGCCGCATTTCAACCGTCAGCTTATAATGTTCACAAAGCTTAAACAACAGAGAGCTGATGTGATTGCATGTGACATGAAGGTAATGGCCTTTCAAATTATTTTCCCCTCTCTCAATTAGCCTGTGTGAGGCTCAATTAATTATGCTCAGCGAGGCCGCTTACCTACGTCTACGGTTTCAGCATTTTCTCATTCTCAATGCTGTGACCCACAGATGGTTCACACAACCCTGTCCTGCTTAAACAGCTGAGAAATAGCCTTTATAGACTGAAATGGCTCTTTTCTGACATAATTCAGCGACCCACAGTGGGCAAAGCAGTGGAGTTTTGTGACCGGTTTAATTGGAGGTAGAGCTGCATTTCATTCAACTTAGAAAGTTGGCATTTACAACTTCCTGTTTGGAAAAATAAATTATTTTTTCCACTATCATAGCTCTCAAATTAAAAAACTGTGCCAATGGTGCAGATTTTTGAACATCAGTGACATTATATTCAATTATAAATAAAACACACACACACACATTCATTGTGTGTCATTTTCTTAATCAAAAGTCTCCATCTACTCGCTATTGAATCCCATTGCTTAATTGAGAACCAATGGAGACTTTGAAGAGATCACATTATATTATATTATATAAAATTATATTATATACTTTTTTTCAACAACATTTTTTTTATATAATATGCATTTCTATATGCATTTATTATGCACATCCCATGCTGGTATTGGGTGAATATCTCACTGTTAGAAAGACCTCAGATTCAAGGACCAGAACAAATTGTTGAATTGAAAACCATGGAATTCATGGTGGTAAGTTCCATGCAGATGGATGGATGGATGGATGGATGGATGGATGGATGGATGGATGGATGGATGGATGGATGGATGGATGGATGGATGGATGGATGGATGGATAGATGGATGGATGGATGGATGGATGGATGGATGGATGGATGGATGGATGGATGGATGGATGGATGGATGGATGGATGGATGGATGGATGGATGGATGGATGGATGGATACACAGACAGACAGACAGACATATTATTATATATTATTGTTGTTGTTGTTGCATCAATTAATTTTAAATTTAATCATTATTATTATTATTAATCTATAAAATATTTATTATAATATGTACCAATTTACATATAAAGTACATTAAAAAATACTTATAATTGCCTGAATAGAATAGAATAGAATAGAATAGAATAGAATAGAATAGAATAGCAACCACTGTACAACCATGGTATTCTTTGATTTTCCATGTAAATACCAAAGCATGTTTCCATATCCCTTATATAGAAAAAGTAGTAGTGTATTTCAAAACGCCAAGGAATTACTATCAACAATTACCCAAGAGTCTAATTCTACACAGAGCTGAATGCATTAGATTAGAACGTGTGGCTTCACACGGCAGAGGAAAATTCATCTCACTCCAGCTGTCTATGTATAATTCATCACTGGGATGCCCTGCGATTCACGCTCCACTTTAAACCACAACTAACCCTGTGGCGCTGCTCGCTGTAATAACCTCATAAAACGTCTTTGTTCATCTCCCAGTGTCTGTGGGCAGTAAAATCGGATGGAGGTCGTCGGGACTGCGGCTGCTGAAGGACGACGCTGTGGTTATCGATCCACACATCAGAAACAGTCAC